TTCTATGCTAAATCTGATTTCTTTGTGATCACTGCTCCCTAGCTCACTCCCTATTTCGATGTCATTAATTTGCGTTTCCCTGTTAGTTAATACTAAATCTAAAATATTATTTTCCCGTGTTGGTTCCTTAATGTGTTGCGTAAGAAAGCAATCGTCAATTAATTCTAGAAAATCTTCTGCTTCACTATTCCCTGTTTTGTTCAACCAGTTTATTCCGCTAAAATTAAAGTCACCCATGACATAAATACTGTTAGATCTAGATGCTCTAGATATTTCATCCCATAGATGCTTTGCTTCCATTCTGTCTAAATTTGGTGGCCTATACATTACTCCTATTATAATATTATTAGCTTTTTCGTTTAATTCAATCCAAATAGTTTCTGTGTGTGGCTCTGTTTTGATTCCCTCTTTGAGACTACATTTCAAATTGTCCCTAACATATATGGCTACTCCACCTCCTCGTCTAATATATCTATCTGTGTGAAATAGTTCATTCAACAGTATTCTCACATGTGAAGGGATCCACATGAATCTTACTTTATACCCACTTTTTTCTCATTTCTTGACATTCTCTCTACACTATCACAATATTCTGGTATACTGGTCGTCTGCTATTTAAAGACTAACGCTCCTCTACTGTCAATAAAGAAGCAGGCATTTTTACCATATTTGACTACTTCCTGTAATCCTGCTAATACACCTTGGAGTTCAGCCTGCGTTGACGAGACATCAGTTAGGCGGCGTCCAACAACAGTATCTACAGTGCCGATGTCAGTGTACTCCCTGATCAAGACTCCACATCCTGCCTTCCCATCCCTAGCTACTGACCCATCACAATATACATGTAGAGTGTTTTCTGTAAGTAATTTTCTAATTATACAATCATATGTTATCCTCAGCTCTCCTCATACATACTTTTTTCTTTTGCAAGGGAATAATTACTACATCTACATTACAGTCCTCCCATGATGGTGTGAATTGCCTCTTAGGCACAGCAATACACACTGTAATAACATCATACTTTATAACATTAGAACATAAGGTACTCGTATATTCTCTCATCATACATTGTTCATTACTTCCCACCTTTTGAACAGAGGATTAATTCATTAGCTCCCCCACCTCTCATTAATTTAATGGCAGAGGCTACATTTATCTCTGAAATTCTATCCCCAATACTCTTCAAATTCAACTCCATCCTCATTATCTCAATCATAGCATTTCTTGGGCATCTTAAGATTATTCTCATGGCTTCATTTTGTACCTTCTCCAACTTGCCCATCCTACCTTTACCAAAACAAGAAATGACAGGTGCAGCATAATCAATAAGAGATCTTACAGTACTCAAGCATATCATTCGTAGCACAGAGACTCCCACTCCCTTTCCACAGCATGCCAAGACATTCAGAGGCTGTAATCTCTTCCGACATTGACCCAACAGTCTGTTCATCTCGGCTTCCAAACTCTCATGGGTATATTCAACATGTATGCCTAAATATTTATATATATTTACTCTATATTTTTACCGTTTAACATAAGAAGAACATAAGAACAAAGGCAAAACCCTATCTAGATCAACTTGAAGTGACAGTGAGTCCTCCTCCGAATTAATTTCCTTACCGATTTTCGTATCATCGGCAAATTTGCAAATGTTGCTACTCAAACCTGAATCTAAATAAGAACTAAGTATAAATAAGTTTATTTTCAATATAATGGGCCTCCGATCTGGTCAGGCCCTGACGCCCCGGCCAGGGTAAGACCCGTCAGACATGGGTCCTGACGGTATGTTCTAATGTTATAAAGTATGATGTTATTACAGAGTGTATTGCTGTGCCTAAAAGACCATTCACACCATCATGGGAGGATTGTAATGTAAACGTAGTAATTATTCCCTTGCAAAAGAAAAAGGTATGTATGAAATAGGAGAGCTGAGGGCAACATATGATTGTATAATTAGAAAATTACCTACAGAAAACACTGTACACACACAAGAACACACACACACAAAAGAGCCCAGTAGGCTCAGGAATCTGTACACCAGTTGATTGACAGTTGAGAGGCGGAGCCAAAGCTCAACCCCCGCAAGCACAATTAGGTGAGTACACAAGAACAAAGGCAACCGCAGAAGGCCTACTGGCCTTCATGTCACCCCTAACTCTTCGCCTTTCCATTGAATGCTTAAGAACAAAGGCAACTGCAGAAGGCCTATTAGCCCATACGAGGCAGCTCCTATTTATAACCACCCAATCCCACTCATATACATGTCCAACCCATGCTTGAAACAATCGAGGGACCCCACCTCCACAATGTTACGCGGCAATTGGTTCCACAAATCAACAACCCTGTTACTGAACCAGTATTTACCCAAGTCTTTCCTAAATCTAAACTTATCCAATTTATACCCATTGTTTCGTGTTCTGTACTGTTGATACTTTTAATACCCTATTAATATCCCCTTTGTTGTGTCCATTCATCCACTTGTAAACCTTTATCATGTCACCCCTAACTCTTCGCCTTTCCAGTGAATACAATTTAAGCTTTGTTAATCTTTCTTCATATGAAAGATTTCTAATTTGGGGAATTAACTTAGTAGAAATAGCTTAAACTACTCTATCCCTTTGAGATGTATTTTTCTTGTCTCAATAAAAATACTTGAACTTGAAATAAGTAGTTCATAGTTGGGTGAATTCTTGTACCAACCTGCAGATCCTGATGTCGATATTGCAATCTTAGTTACTGATAAATAGATAACACCACCAATGGAGACCAAAAAATGTGTAAGTACTTCATTCATAATGATGTGCTGCCCGAAATCTTAGCGAAGTATCCAAAATTTGCTTACTGTAGGTAATGCATGCATATGACTGTAAAGCTGCCGCCCAGTTGGGTGGGTGTGGAGCAAGACTAGTAACTGTGTGACTCACCATAGATGTAAAGTGCCTTGTATACTGACTGTTGTGAGCCTCTTGTTGAATCACTTGTGACAAAAGATTATTGATGTGTGTATTTGTGTGGGTGATTAAATATGTATGTATATATGTATACGTATACAACTTTAGAACACTTTCCCACCAGGAGACTGGAACCCTAGCCAGCACAAAAGCCTTCCAGCAACTGGCATAACAGGTGGTGGAGTGGGTTAAGGCGTACCTGTTATGCATGTATACGTATATATATATATGTACATGTATGTATGAAAATGTGTACATGTATATATAACATTAATAATTTTGTAACTAGCGTCAAAAATTGTTATTTGTTTAGCTAAACGAAGTAGAGGGTTCAGTTACCTGAACCGATTATGTGCCTCTGTAATCCTTTACACCACAGCCCACGGGATGGGTATGGGGTGCATAATAAAGAAAGAAATAGAATCAATAAACTTACTTGAACTTGAATTGAACTGCGGGAGACATCTCCCGTCACGCAGGGTGCAGTCGCACCTCCATAGATCTCCAGTATCATCTATTGATACTGGTGATGGCTCAAAAGGGCCACCACTTACGAGCTATTCATGCCTGTGCCACCTTTTGGGTGGCTTCATCTTCATCTTAACACATTCACAAGGGAGACATCTCCCGTCATGCAGGGTGCATTCGCACCTCCACAGATCTCCAGTATCAGCTCTTGATACTAGTAATGGCTTAAAAGGGCCACCACTTACGGGCTATTCATGCCCGTGCCACCTTTTGGGTGGCTTAATCTTCATCAATCAATCAATTGAACTGGCTCAGATATCCATAACTATCTCTAAAGGAAGCAAAATTATTGTCTCAATAGCGATTTTTTTATTTTTTTATTTAATAAGCTTAGGTATTCACAGCAATGTTCTGCTACCCTAATTTTTATGAAAGATTGAACATAAGAACATAAGAACAAAGGTAACTGCAGAAGGCCTATTGGCCCATACGAGGCAGCTCCTATTTATAACCACCCAATCCCACTCATATACATGTCCAACCCATGCTTGAAACAATCGAGGGACCCCACCTCCACAATGTTACGCGGCAATTGGTTCCACAAATCAACAACCCTGTTACTGAACCAGTATTTACCCAAGTCTTTCCTAAATCTAAACTTATCCAATTTATATCCATTGTTTCGTGTTCTGTCCTGTGTTGATACTTTTAATACCCTATTAATATCCCCCCGGTTATGTCCATTCATCCACTTGTAAACCTCTATCATGTCACCTCTAACTCTTCGCCTTTCCAGTGAATGCAACTTAAGCTTTGTTAATCTTTCTTCATATGAAAGATTTCTAATTTGGGGAATTAACTTAGTCATCCTACGCTGGACACGTTCAAGTGAATTTATATCCATTCTATAATATGGCGACCAAAACTGAACTGCATAATCTAAATGGGGCCTAACTAGAGCAAGATATAGCTTGAGAACCACACCAGGTGTCTTGTTACTAACGCTGCGATTAATAAATCCAAGTGTCCGATTTGCCTTATTACGAACATTTATGCATTGATCCTTTTGTTTTAAATTCTTACTAATCATAACTCCCAGATCCCTTTCGCAATCCGACTTCGCAATCACAACACCTAATGCACAATGTAGATTAAAAACTAGATATATAAACTAATATTCCCATCTCAGAGGATGGTTGACATGACTGAAGTATACACAAGGATGAAAGAGCATAACAAAGGGGGATATCAATGTGTTAAATATATTAACACAAAATAAAACACGAACACGGATGTAAATTAATTATTAAATTTAAGAATGTTTATAATGATGATGCATTTCCGACGGTTCCTTTCATATAAAAGGGGTGACGGCGAGGAAAATAAGACTCGCGTCCCTACAAAAACAGTTTATAATGATTCAACAAAGACCTATATAATAGCTAGATACTTTACGCATCAAAATGTCAAAAATTTGCTAAGAGACCTTTCTTGTAAATATATAAATCAAACTAAGCGGTTTCCAAAAGAAAACGCCAAGACATTAGTGTTATTTAGTTCAATCAATTTGTATTCACACATAAGGTAGGTGGCGCCGCGGCGGCTGCCAGCGGACGGTGAAGGAACTACACGGGGGAAGGCCTTGACGGGCTTATCACTGATAATTATTTGGTTAAAAACTTCACACACATCTAGTTTATCAAGTGCATGCACACTGCTTGTAAAGAAGGAAGACTTCCTGCATCTGAACTGGTTAGTGAAATATGTAAATTTGGTGTAAACGAACAAGATTTTGGTAACGAAGCGAAGCGCTTCCGTCATGACGAAATAGCGATCATGTCGTTTTGTATTTCGTGTGCAGGACAAACACCAATTGTGGCACTAGCTCTCCACACACGTCAGTTGCTTAATTTAGACACTGTACTTGTGGTCGATCTCGAACCCATTTATGATGTGACGACTTATACTGAATTTTGTAACTAGCTCATCAAGACTGCCCGAAACGCTTTACGTAATAGTGGCTTTAGGCATTGTATATACTAGCTCTATCCATAAATCGATCAATTTTTGTAAAATCTCTTGTATGTATGTACCTTACCTGAATAAAAATTTATTTATTATTTATTGTAACTTGCTTAGCTAAATGAATTGTGGGGTTCAGTCCCTGAGCCCATTAGATCTAACAGTATTTATGTCATGGGTGACTTTAATTTTAGCGGAATAAACTGGTTGAACAAAACAGGGAATAGTGAAGCAGAAGATTTTCTAGAATTAATTGACGATTGCTTTCTTACGCAACACATTAAGGAACCAACACGGGAAAATAATATTTTAGATTTAGTGTTAACTAACAGGGAAACGCAAATTAATGACATCGAAATAGGGAGTGAGCTAGGGAGCAGTGATCACAAAGAAATCAGATTTAGCATAGAATGGAATAGACCAGTAGGAGAAAATTCTGTTAAAGTGCCAGATTTTCGAAAAGCTGATTTTAATAGCCTAAGAAATTTTTTGGGTCAAATTGATTGGAAAGGCTTGGGTATGGGGTGTGGGCCGGTCTTGGAGCGAGACATGAACCCAGCGATAGGTGACTTAAATGGGGATTTCGATGTGGATTCAATATATAACTTATTTAAGAATATTCTAAACAAAGCACAGGAACGTAGTATACCATACAAATTGAATAGATCGTATACTAATGACCCAAAGTGGATAACAAAGAATTTGAAGAACCTTATAGGTAAAAAGAGAGCTTGGTACAAAAGGATTAAAAATGGGGAGGTCACTTTAGAACAGGAATTCGTACAACTGGTTAGAAATGTTAAAAAAGAGATAAGGAAAGCAAAAAGAAACTATGAAGTTCGCATAGCAGGGCAAGCAAAGACAAATCCTAAAGGGTTTTTTCAGTTATATCGTACTAAGACTAGGGAAAGGATAGGTCCATTAAAAACTGAGACAGGTCAAATAACAGATAGTGATGAAGAGATGAGTAGTATTTTTAATAAATATTTTGTATCTGTATTTACTAAAGAGGAACTTAACAATATGCCTTCAGCCGAACAAGTCTATGTGGGTGGGGACGAGGACAGGTTGACGAGTTTAGCAGTTACCAGGGAGGATGTTCTTAAACAAATAGTAAAACTCAAACCAAACAAATCCCCAGGGCCGGATGAAGTGTTTGCTAGGGTGCTTAAAGAATGCAAAGAGGAGCTTTGTGACCCACTGTCAACCATATTTAATAAATCAATAGAGTCAGGCAGAGTGCCAGAGTTTTGGAAAGTTGCTAATGTGATACCAGTTTTTAAGAAAGGAGATAGATCACTTGCGTCTAACTATCGACCAATTAGCCTAACGTCTATTGTGGGAAAGTTACTCGAATCTATAATAGCAAATAAAATTCGTCTTCATCTTGAAAAACATAAATTAATAATCGAGTCGCAACATGGTTTTATAAATGGCCGTTCATGTTTAACAAATTTGTTATCTTTTTATTCTAGCATTGTTGAGGCAGTTGATAGTGGTAAGGATTGCGATGTTGTATACCTTGACTTTAGCAAAGCTTTTGATACAGTGCCACATGAAAGACTGATTAAAAAAATAGAGTCTCATGGTATTGGGGGTGCTATATTAAGCTGGATTAGGGCATGGCTATACCAAAGGAAACAGAGAGTTAGTATAAATGGAATCAAGTCAGAGTGGGAAAATGTTGTAAGTGGAGTGCCTCAAGGCTCTGTCCTGGGACCTCTGTTGTTTATAATATATATAAATGATTTAGATTCAGGTTTGAGTAGCAACATTTGCAAATTTGCCGATGATACGAAAATCGGTAGGGAAATTAATTCGGAGGAGGACTCACTATCACTTCAAGTTGATCTAGATAGGGTTTTGAAATGGTCAAAGGATTGGCAGATGCAGTTTAATGCTGATAAATGTAAAGTTCTGAGGTTAGGTAATGATGATAGAGTTACAAGATACGAGCTAGATGGTGTTGTGATTGCGAAGTCGGATTGCGAAAGGGATCTGGGAGTTATGATTAGTAAGAATTTAAAACACAAGGATCAATGCATAAATGTTCGTAATAAGGCAAATCGGACACTTGGATTTATTAATCGCAGCGTTAGTAACAAGACACCTGGTGTGGTTCTCAAGCTATATCTTGCTCTAGTTAGGCCCCATTTAGATTATGCAGTTCAGTTTTGGTCGCCATATTATAGAATGGATATAAATTCACTTGAACGTGTCCAGTGTAGGATGACTAAGTTAATTCCCCAAATTAGAAATCTTTCATATGAAGAAAGATTAACAAAGCTTAAGTTGCATTCACTGGAAAGGCGAAGAGTTAGGGGTGACATGATAGAGGTTTACAAGTGGATGAATGGACATAACCGGGGGGATATCAATAGGGTATTAAAAGTATCAACACAGGACAGAACACGAAACAATGGATATAAATTGGATAAGTTTAGATTTAGGAAAGACTTGGGTAAATACTGGTTCAGTAACAGGGTTGTTGATTTGTGGAACCAATTGCCGCGTAACATTGTGGAGGTGGGGTCCCTCGATTGTTTCAAGCACGGGTTGGACAAGTATATGAGTGGGATTGGGTGGTTATAGAATAGGAGCTGCCTCGTATGGGCCAATAGGCCTTCTGCAGTTACCTTTGTTCTTATGTTCTTATGGGGGATATTAATAGGGTATTAAAAGTATCAACACAGGACAGAACACGAAACAATGGGTATAAATTGGATAAGTTTAGATTTAGGAAAGACTTGGGTAAATACTGGTTCAGTAACAGGGTTGTTGATTTGTGGAACCAATTGCCGCGTAACATTGTGGAGGTGGGGTCCCTCGATTGTTTCAAGCACGGGTTGGACAAGTATATGAGTGGGATTGGGTGGTTATAGAATAGGAGCTGCCTCGTATGGGCCAATAGGCCTTCTGCAGTTACCTTTGTTCTTATGTTCTTATTATGTGCCTCTGTAACCCTTTCCACTACTGCCCACAAGATGGGTATGGGGTGCATAATAAATGAACTAAACTAAACTTTTTTAATATATTACTTAGGACTGAACTTTATTGCGGTTCATACTTGCATAATTAAGTTGGTTTTGGTTTGAAGGTATTATTGGACATATTAGGCTGTAGTCCTGAATGATCAGTGTACAGTATTATGAGATTGGTTCCCATGGATGCAACATTCTTTTTTTGTTAATTTTTTTCTTGTTATTTACATATACTGTATATACCAAAAGTTAGAGAATTAGTGACATTTTTGGAGTTTTTGGAACATTCTCACAAAACCACAGACATGCATAGTCCTATCACCTAATGTCTCTGTTCACCTAGCATTAAACAGGTACCCAGGAGTTAGGCAACTATGTTGACCAGACCACACACTAGAAATTGAAGGGACGACGACGTTTCGGTCCGTCCTGGACCATTCTCAAGTCAAGTTAGGCAACTATCGTGGAGGGGGGATGCATCCTGGGGAGGGTCAGAAGTTCCATTCCAGGGGAAGGGGGAGAGGGTAGGGAGGGAATTACCAGGGGAGTATGCAAAGCCATTACAACTATATAGCACTTGGAAGGGAGAACAACTACTAAGAGACATAGTGGCATGTACATTCACTTCTTTTCCTACCATCCTCCTTCTGTTAAGAAAAGTGTCCTCGTCTCTCTCTTCCTCTATGCTCTACACATCAGCGACCCTCAGTTTCTCGATTCTGAAATTGCCTTTATCTACAAATCATTCTCTCGCCTTGGTTGCCCTTTGCATTTCATCAACTGTGCCTACTCTCAAGCTAAAGGAAATTTCTTTCATCCTAAACCTGCTTCCAACACTAGTAGCACTGTACTATGCCTTCCCTTCATATCTGAACTCAAAACTTTTATCAATACCTTTCGTCCTCTTGACATTAAACTCGCCTTTCGACAAACTAACACACTTCGTAGCAATCTAGCTCGCACTGCTCCTCCTGCTTCTAATGCTGCTGGTGTCTACTCTATTTCCTGTTTGTCTTGTCCTCTCCAATACTTTGGCGAAACTGGCCATACACTGAATGACAGACTTAAAGAACACGAGAAGTGTTAAGTTTGCAGACACTAACAATGCTCTCTTCTGCTATGTGAAGGATTCTAATCATCCCATTGATTGGTCTTCCTCCAAAATAATCTTTCCTGCCTCTACTCTACACAGACGCCGTCTTGTTGAATCGGCTCTAATACACAATGTACCCAACATGAACTTGAATCCTGGCTTTGTTGCTGTGGACTCTTCCCTTTCACAGCATATACTCAAATGCTCTAATCTTTCTAACAAACGTGACCTAACATAAGCCTACCCCTTCCATTTATCTTTCTCTCTTAGCTTTTCTTTCTCTCTTCTCCCTTTTTCTATTCATTGTCTTCTACGCTATCCTCTTCCTCTTCTTATTCCTATCTCCTCATTCGGTGGTTATAATAGGAGCTGCCTCGTATGGGCCAATAGGCCCTCTGCAGCTCTTATTATCATTACTATCCCCTCTACTACACCTTACTTTGCTCCTCAGCTCTCTCTTGCCTATTTATTGCCTGTCTACTTCCTCATCACAATCACCTTGAGAATGGTCCAGGACAGACTGAAACATTGTCGTCCCTTCACCTTCTAGTGTGTGGTCTGGTCAACTACTAAGAGAACCTTTCTGTAAAAAGGTTTAACTACACCTAGCATTGTTCCATTGCCCTAGCCTTGAAATCTCATTTTCAAAGGAAAAAGGACCCATATTTGTGAACAAAAACTGGGAATCTCAAAATTTAAATCTACCATTTGGTTTTAATTTGAATTTGAATTAACCATTTGAATTTGGTTTTAAATATGCTGAATGACTTTCCCAAGACTCCTTACTATTTCTTATATTGTGCCCATCTACAAAAATCATTAAAAATGTGATGTCCCTAATGTTTCTCATGATATTTGGACTAATTTCACAGAGTAAAATGTCAGACAAGTTGGGCTTAGGCAACACACTGTAAATTAATATAGTTAAAGCCAGAAGACTAAATTTTTACATCATTACTTATTATATTATGGTTTTGCATGGTTCTACTGTACCTTTCATTTAATTTTTAGATGGAGAGTAAGAGAAGCAGTGATGCAATAATGGAAGACCCTGTGACTGCTGTGGTTAAAGACATGGAAGAACACGTGGACACACAACATGTGTCTACACAGTGCCTTGAGAATATTATAGCCGAGGAAGAAACCACGAAAAAAGAATGTGCAGTTATACCGAACAAGTCGAAGACAAAAGTGGAGGAGCAGTCATTGGGAAAATTTGATATTAAGCTCCTAATTCAGAAAGATACGGTAGGTTTCGTGTAACTTAAGTAATATCCTTCTATCATTTCATAATTAGGTTATGGCTCACCTAGCTCTAGTTATTAGCTCAGTTAGGATAGTTATAAAATAACTAAATTACAAGTCTGTCATTTATACAAATATATAACTCGCTATGCATACCCTTATAATACTGGTATGCATATCTCCCTTTTTCTCCTGATTAATGTTGCTTTGTCACACAAGAGCAGAAAATGACAATGAATGTATTGTAATAATGTTGCAGACTTTTTAATAATGTTGCAGTTTTTTTTTTCTTTCTTTTTTAACCAAGCGATTATGCTGCAGTGGATACACAACACAATAGGCAACACTGATAAAAATATAGTTAAAACTAACATTCTGATGACAGTGTCATCTGTACCGAGCCAGTAAGCATTACAGTGTCGCTAAATGCATCATCCATTTCAAAATTGCCGAAAATCATATGTATGTACAGTATCAACCCGTTCTCGCAAATTTAATAAGTCAATATTGACTTATTAGTTGCGTGCATAGGTGACATACTAAACATAATAGTTTCCCTTGAAAAGCTTCATAGAAAACACCGACCTTACCTAACCTGCCTAGTATGTTAAAATAAGCATCTTATAGCTTCGTAATTACAATTGTTACTTAACCTATTATAGGTATAGGTTAGGTAATAATTGTAATTACGAAGCAATAAGATGCTTATCTTAACATACTAAGTAGGTTAGGTAAGGTCGGTGTTTTCTATGAAGCTTTTCAAGGGAAACTATTATGTTAAGTATGTCACCTATGCACATATTTAATAAGTCAATATTGACTTATTAAATTTGCGAGAACGGGTTGACAGTATATATAATTTTTTTAGTAGTGTAGGCAATGCTTATTAGAGGACCATCCAGAGATCACCTTGGCCGACAATGCCATCACTCGTATGCATGTTTAATCTATGCCTAAAACAAACCAGTGATCTGTGTATTATGTTACTATATGCGATGTCCTCATGATTATTGTGCATATATTTATGTATGTATGTGTGTGTATGGGAGAGATGAATAATCCTTGGTATCAGTGTACTGTTTTAATAGCATCAGGCCCCAGGCAGGACTTTGGGAGTGTGAATGTGAAAAATACTGCCAGATATTTGAGATTGAGATGTTGATGGTAATTATGAGGCTACCAGTGATCAGTATATATTGGCAAACGGGTAAATTTTGGAATGTTCCTACTTTCAATGACTGCAAAACAATCTAAATCGATTGCAAAGTATTTTCATACTCAAAAACAATAATGTCAAGCAACAAAAACAAATGATATGGTGTCATAAACAATGTCGGGAATGAATAATGACTAAATGAAGAAAATCAGGTGTTGTTCACATGATGTACTTTATCTTATGGTATTTGTAACATTCTAATATTTGCTCTTTTATGCAAATATTCATTTAGAGCATTCCATTGCAAACAATTTGATACCAAATTGAACGACATAGCACAAAAATTGATATCAGAAAGCTGATAATAGTATAAACATTTTTGTGTGGTTTCGAGTTGACACTTAACGTGTACCTTGAGGTACACGCGATAGTATTAATACTTTAATACTTTAGTTTAATCTCATCACAATAAATATATTGAAATTTACTTTGTGAAAGTACAGTATATAGCACTAAAGTGTATAGTGTTGAAATTTACTTTGATGAAATTTGGTGTTTCTAATGTTGCAACTACAGTATATGCTTCTAATGTACAATTGTTTATTTTACTATTAGAGAAAGGATGGACTACAGGATACCTTGGAGAGCATCAAGACATTTACAAAGGAAGTTGGCGAGTTACCCACTACAGCAACTTGTAGAAGCATTATTGAGTTTGAACTCCCATTAGATGTACCCTGGTGGAACAATAAAGATGACATTTGCCTGAAGCAAAAGATAAGAGACATTGCAAATTACCAGACAAAGTTCAAAACTGTGAGTAGCAGGATTTCAAGGATAGAGTTTAAATCTCTTAAGGAAGCTGTTTATAGAACATTAGAGGATATGGAAACTAGCTTTATTACACACACAAATAAAGAAGAGGACATTGGAACTAAAGACAATGTTCTTACTAGGGAAGTCATAAACAATATATGCAATCTACATGTATCCCCAAAGGAGAGGTTAGAGACCATTAATTTGCATAATGCTGTGAATCACATGAAGGAGGTTAAGAAGAAAGGACTACAGGAAGACCCCTTGACACTAGGTTTGCTAGACTTTGACCAGTGCATTATAAATGTCCACAAGATTTTAATGAAAGATTTGCTGCCGCCTAACAAATGCGGTGTTCCAAGCACAAATAAACGCTGTGCAGACTTTGAAGGTTTTTATCACGAATATCCAAAATTTGACACTGTGAAGGATGGTGAAGCAGCAATTCAAAGAGTACTTGACAGATATAATGATGTTATTAACTGGATCAAATTTGAAGATGATAAGGTGGTTCAAATGGAAAGGCTATTTAAGTGTGCAGCATGGTTACTACTGGAACTGGTCGGAGTACATCCTTTTGCAGATGGCAATGGCCGTCTCTGTAGACTGTTGTGTAGTTATGCAATGAGTGTTGTCACACCATTTAGCAGCCCTATATACAACATTTACAGTGACACACGGAAACACGACTATGTCAGAGCAATTATTGCAGACAGAAAAGTTGGTTCACCATTTCATCTCACTGCACTCATTATTGAAAGCAACTGGTGTGCTTGGAATAACTTTTTCTCTCAAATTTCCAAGGATGAACAAGTGCTGGATGAAAGGAAAAGTGTGAAGGTTTAACTAAGATTTGATATGACCAAAGAGCTTGTATCTTAAGTATCTTGATATATTTGATCTCAGGAGTATTGATTTTCATTCACATTAGTATTTTTATTGTTTGTCTGTGTTGGCTTTAGTAATGAATTTCAGTATAGAGTATTGACTCTAAATAGCACATGGTTTTGACAAAGGGTGAATTCTGGATAGGTAGGTCTCTTAATGCATTTTGAGGAATTCACAATGGGGTACACTTACTGTTAAAACTTAACATATCTTGCGCTAATATTTTTATGACATTTTAGTTGTATCATTTATTTGCTTTCATGACTGTTATACCATTTGGTATAACCAAATGTTATACCATTTGGTATAACCATTAATCCACATTACTTTATATAGTCCAATTATTTATCAAACTGATATGTTTCTTAAGTGGTAATTCTCCCCTAAACATTTACAAATTTATGTACAAATTTAGTTTGAAAAAGATAGATATTTTATATAACCGAGTCTTATGGCTGTGATAATGCTTTTACCCGGCATAATTAGTTAAGTAAGGATGGTATTCTTAATCTCATACAAAACATGTGTTTAATATTTTGGAAGATTGGCAGTGCAAATATATTTTTATAATAGGCTTTACAAGAATGTAAAAACTCTTTGTATATATAAATAAGATTTTTTTTTACCTTTTGGAGTTCTTTATTTAACATTTTATACCTGAAAGGCCTAGGTCTAAACTGACTTTGGAGGGACTATAATATTAAGTGGCTAATTAGGTACTGTATTGTCTCCCAATGGGAAAACAGTTACAGTACTACTTTATAAAATAACAAAGCACTGCAGAAAATCTGCTGGCCCATGCCAGAATTTTCTACCTGTCCTCGGGCTAGGCTCATCTAGGTGGCCACTGAACCAAATGACACATTCATGAATTTTAATGTAGAGTCGCCTTGGCTTTCATTAAATTCGAATCAGGTTACGAACTTTGCCTTGGGAAACGAAGTTTGTTGATACGAGTATGGCCGACCTAGTTCATGGTGATACGGCGACAGCGTTTTGGTTTACCAATGCCACCCGCCTAGTGACAATTACGCCTGAATTCTTTGGAAAGAATTTAATTTTTTGGGTACTTAAAAGGTATTATTTATCTCACCATGGGTTCCAAGAAAGCCAGTGGTACGGTTCAATCCTTAAATTGTGGCCTGAATGTGTTTCAGAACTAGACTGAGGGGTTTGAGCCTGAACCTGAAGTGCCTATTGTTGAGGAAATTGTTACTCTGGGCCGGAAATTGGGCTTGGAGTTGAATGATGCTGATGGGGGAGGAGTTGGTGGAGGAATACAGTGAAGAACTCCTAACCCTTCACAAGGAGCAGTTGAGGAAATTTCTTCAGGGGAGGAGGAGGCAGTACAGAATGTCCCTTTCTCAACAATTAGGAAGTGATGTAGACTGTGGGAAGAAATGCAAACATTTGTTGAAATGACTCGCCCAGAGCAAGCTGTAGTAGGCCGTGGCATTAACCTTTTTAATGACACTATTGTCTAGTGAGGCAAGTGTTACAACAAAAGGAAAACAATCCTCTATGGATAGATTTTTAGTGAGAAAATCAAGCAATGAGCCACAAGCAGGTCCTAGTGGTATGCAGACAAAACGTGCCAGAAAAAGTGTACCCAAGAGAAGACATCACTGCCTGATGTTGTAATGGAAGAGGACTCCCCTTTCAAACACTAACACCTCTCCTCCTCTCGACCCCCCCCCCCCCCTCCTCACTATCTTCCATACGCCAACAAGTCATCAATAAAGTTAGGCAATAACTTGTACATACTGTACTTAAGTACTGAAGATTTGGGTGAATTAGGCATAAAATTCACTTTGAAATTAATTTTTTGGGGCGTGTAGAACATATTAATTCAATTTACATTGCAGTATTTCTTATGGGGAAAATTCACTTCGGTTTACAAATTTTTGGCTTACCAAGAGGAATAAATCACAAAAGGTGAAATTTTTTTTTAATGAACATTATTAATGTTCAGTGTGCAAGGAGTGGAAGAAAATGAGAGAATGAACATCAATTTTAATGTATGAATAGTAGTATGGTGTAATGAATAACTTCTTTTAATGCACTTCAAGTGTTTGTGTAATTGTAAAGAATAAAATGGCGATTGTTATCCATGGGTACTGTCAAATGACAGTAGTGAGAATTAATTTTTCTGTAGTTTAGGGAGATCAGTATGATACCTAGGACTACTAAAATATAGAATGTAGATCCTGATTAAGACGCACAGTAATGGTGTGCCACGAATTAATTACTGGCTGAAGATTGGAAGATATATGTACTAATAAATATACTAATATTTAATAAATACTAATAAATATTTTAAATACACTAAACATGGAAAGAAGTGAATAATGAAACTGTACCCAAGAACTTAATTGATTATGTACTTGTTAAGAGTATACTCTGGTATGTGTGCGAGATATAAGCAGAGAGGAGTATTTGGAGGCTTGCCTGATCAATGTTGATGTTTTGTAAGAGATTCTCAAGTAGTGAAAGCATCCACCCATATACTGTACTTCCACCACTGTTGGGTGAAAGCTATCAGCGTTCTGTTTAATATGTAACATCTATCGTTTTTATGACCAAACCACAACTCAGAAGATGGAGAAGTGATGTTGTCACTTCATCTTCCAAGTTGTGGTTTGGTCATTTTGTCAGCCACGTTGTCACATCGTCTGCATCCTTCACTTTCAACCAATGGTGCCCACTGGGTGGGCACCATTGTTTACCAAAAGGTAAAAGAATACATGCTGAGAAGCTTCAGAGAGAAACAACTGGTAGATGAGTACCAAAGTTTAAGGTGATCTTGAGGAAAGACAAATGAACAATACAGCCCATATAGGTTGAATATAAGAAGTGGGCAGTAAAGAATGCCAAGGTAATTATCAGGAGAGAATGCTAGGCCAGTACTTTGAAGGGATGAGGATAAGGATTTGGGATAGGACAGAGGGCAATTACTGTATCAGGAATTGAGCTCCAACCTACAAGAAGTAATTACCAACAGAAGGTACTAATCCGGGAAGGCTATGTAGCACCATGACCTACAAGAACCTTCAATTTTTATTCCTAAGAATGTATGGAGCAGCATGAACCTATACAAAAATGTGAGAAACTGCTTGGTAGAATGACAAGTGCAGTTACCAACACGATAAAGTATTTTATATAGAAAGGGAAAGAATGGCATGAAAACTGGAATATGTCAAGACTAAAACATTACTTACAGGTAAAAAGTTTCCATGCCTTCCAAATCAGACAGAACTGAGAGAAGCTGCCTGCTTATACATTTGATACATATTCTGCCTGCTTACTGTATTTATTTATATATACAAGAGTTCTTACATTCTTGTACACGTAGCGTTTCGGGCAAGTAATCCTATGTTCCCTAGAATACGACGACCCCTGCGAAGAATCGTTTTTACAACCAAGTACCCATTTTACTGTCGAGTTAAACAGAGGCTACAGTTAAGAATTTGCGCCCAGTAAATCCTTCCTGGCCAGGATACGAACCCAGGACAAAGCTCTCGCGGAAAGCCGGGCAAACATCTTACCACTACGCCACGGAGACTGTTATGTACTTATATACATACTGCTCTGTACTTATGAATGAACTGCTTGGAGGACAACCTTTAGAAGAAAGAAGCCATGACCTGTATTCAATTCGAAATAAGTAACGTAGTAGAATCTATATTGTTGAGACTACTCAATTGCCACATTGTGTTTGGAGACAAAAATATGCTTTCTAGTTCTGTGCAATCTATACATCCACCATCTGAATTCATGCAGGTTCATACAGATATGAATTCCAAACATTAATGTCCCCTCAGCCACACAAAGGCTGGCTATAAAGCCCCAAACACAAATGTGTCAGTGAAGCGCTTGCTTGATTGAGGAAGAAGTCATCAGGAACAGAGTCGAGAAATACCTCCTTAGGAAACCCCTGAGTCTTCACAAGGTAATTCCTTTAGCATAAAGGTGAAGACTGAAAAAAATGCTTTCAGCCAAATCATGAAACTTTGGTAAACACCAACTAAAAATTACAAAGGCATTTTTAAGAACTGTGAAAAACTGCACTCTCCCAGATCTATCTGATGATGAGAAACTAAATGAACTAACAAAAGGCTCTGGAAGGAAAACCATGACATCAAAAACTGTATCTACATCAGCTTCTGTGAAAACTGGAGCTGGAATTTTGCATTATCAAGTCTGATAAACATCCTTGGGGTTAGATTTAGCTCAAACAGAAGTCTGAAAATGGAAGGTGTTATCAATGCTGACCCTGGCCCAAACCCTAAGCTGAAAGTGTAGGAAAGGCACAGCACAGAGAACCCAGAAGTACACAAATAACATGTTTCTTACACATGGAGTATTATAATACTAAATAGCTTCAAAAGATGGAAAACAAAAACACAAACAAAAAAACTTAACTGAACTGGTTCTTGTCTGCTACACCTGTCACCTGTCTCAGCTGGGAAGAATGTGAGGATAATTAGGTCAAGGAACATGGTTGTAGAATTGGTACTGCCACCTGGTGGCAGTCTGTGGAGGCAGCTGATTCAGCTAACTGGTAGTTAGTGCTCCTTGGTCATCAACTGTGATGCAAAGAAATTTTTACAAATGTGCATTCTAGCAGTCATTCCAAACCATTCCAAACAAGTTGAATGCTCCCCCACTACCTGCACAACTATGAAGGGACATTTAAAAGGTAGCTTTTGACACCAGTATGTAATGTCGACCTGTTCTGACTGTCTTGACTCTGTCCCATGGATCCAGAAGGTTTACCTTTGTGATCAACTGAGTGCAAGAATATTGTGTCAAAATGTTCATAAATAATTAGTCTTGTCAATTGACAAAGAGCTGCTGAGTTTATAAAAGCTTAGAAACATTAAAAACTGTGTCACCTACTGTATTTTACAGAAAAGGAAGGGAATTATCAGGGAAAAGTGCCAAGCCACTATGACTATACAGGTACAGCAATTATTTTTTTTTACAAAGATTCATTTTACCAAATAGTGTTTCTTCAGATTATCTGATTTGACTGTCATTAACAGTTTATCAATTTGACTATCATTAACAAATAACAGTTTATCTGGGTTTATCTGGGTTAGGGTTAACACAAAGACTAGAAACTGTATACAGTATTACAAAAGTATACAGTATCCTGTACTGTATATAGGATAAATTTTCACATTCAACCTTAATTTATAATAACTGTACTTGAGAAAGCTAATAAATAATTTTGTATTTTGTTAAATGATGGCTTATATTGACTTCCTTTACAATATACGTTAGAAAGTACAGGATATAAAAATCAATAGTCAATTGCAAACATTATGTTCTAACAAAAATTAATTAGAGGTGCAGTATCTATATATATTCATTTAACTTTCTATCAGTATTAAATGTATTATGTTTTGTACCATAGTTGCCATAAAATCTGACTGTTTATGTTTATTATCCATTGTCCAAAAGAGCTTTCACATGTAATACTGCAGCTCTAGTTTAAAAACTGAACAGCATAGTTTCTTGTTCCAGGAATAACAAGGACAGTATACTATCAGTGATTAGTTATGCTTGGATTTAGACTTGTAAAAGACCTCTCAGGTAATGAGACCTGAGAGGTCACTCAGTGCATCCACGTCCCAATTATATATCGTTGGGGTACTTGGGCAAACAGTAAGTGGTACTAAATTAGTCCACCCTGCCCAGATATGGCTTTGCAATTAATATATGCCTAACAGAAGAGGCATGAAAGTGCCAGTGAGAGAGGAATACTATAGCTGCAAATTCATGGCTGAATGCTAACAATCTAAGAGAAAAGTTGAGGCAAGAAGCAAAAAATATACACATGCCCTTAGGAACTTCCCCAAAAGCTGTTATAGTATTCAGTAGACAGGACTTATGCATCAGAGATGGGACATACAGAATGTATCAATGTTTTAAGAGGGTAAGGATTTTTGTTCTAGAAATGTGACTTTTCATATGAGGAAAAAACTTCTGAGAATATTGCTTACTGTATGAACAGTAGTTGAATAACAGTTATTGCAATGAATCTTATAGATACATGTAAGCATAACTAATACATTCTTTATAAATAAAGGTATTTGCATTAATATGGTTAGTTAATAGATTAAATTTTAACCAAAAGGTCATGGACTGAAATGCCCACAAAACTTTAGCAGTATTTTAATTTAATAATCCTGTGTGGTGCTTTGGTATAAGAAAGAGTAGCAGTTTCAAGAACATTGTAGAACAAGAAGTAGCAGTAGTGAAATATTTGGTATTTGGTGCATGGCATAAGGTACCGTATTGAATGGAGAAAAATTGTTGCATACAAAAATCTAAATATCTAAGAAACAGATATATCGGAGTTAGGAGCCTAATAGTACGATGAATATAAATATGTAAATTTGGAAATGTGGTAAAGTGTGGCAAAGGCATAACTTTGCCCTCACTTTAGCACCCCCTCAAAAAAAGGTGACAGACAAGAAGCACTAAACTACAGGCCAGTGTCTTGTGTACCATGCAAGGTAATGGAGAAGATTGAGAAAAAACCTACAAGCACATCTGGAGAGAAGGGACTTTGTGACACACCACCAATATGGGTTTAGGGATAGTAACTCTTGCCCCACAGGTTTAATAGAATTCTATGATCAGGTGACAAAGATTAAGCAAGAAAGAGGTTGGGCAGACTGCATTTTCTTGGATTATTGGAAAGCCTTTGATACAGTCTCCCATAAGAGGCTCCAGATGGCTAAGGGCTAAGAGTTAGTTAGGCTAACTCTGCCTCTTAAGCAATAGGAAGCAGAGTTACTGTGAGGGGGTGAGACCTCAGATTGGCATGAAGTCCCACAAGATTCTGTACTCTGATCTATCCTGTTTCTATTATGAGAAGGATTGAGACAGGACAGCATGAGGCTTCAAGAAGACCTAGACAAATGGTTGTTAAAGGGTTTAACCCAAGCAAATGTAACGTAATGAAGATAGGTGTAGGGAGAAGGCCAGATAAAAGCTACCATTTGGGAGATGAAATTCTTCTAGAATCAAGAGAAAGACCTGGGTGATATCATGCAACACCTGTCCCCCAAAGCCCATATCAAGAGGATAGCATCAGCAGCATATGCCAGATTGGCCAACATAAAAATGGCCTTTAGAAACTTGTGTAATGAATCACTCAGAACCTTGTATACCACATATGTCAGACTTCCAGCCTCATGTTGCTGGAAGCCAGGAGAGTTATGGGGAACTTTCTTTACAGGGATATTCCTGCACGGGCCCTAAGCCTCTGGCTGGCCCACTAAGGGTTACTTGTTTCTGTTTTACTGGGGCGGAGTACGAGTATTTATGACTCGTATGGTCGCTTCAGTAAGATTTTGCCTCGTGTGCTTAACAACTGCTCTGTTGAATCTAAGTTGAAATCTTGATGGGTTTGTAACTCGGCACTGTGTGTAATGCACATGTTGCATTGCCTCGTCCGCATGAACTAGGGACGATCACAAACTGACAAGTGTCTGGGTAGCTGAGAAAGTAAAGAATGCAGTTTTGCAGTAGAGATGACAAACCAAATACAGTCATTTTCATGTAAAAAATGACTGTATTTGTATGAAGATGTAAGGTGGAGCTGTTGGAGGAGATTGTAAACAGGATGAAGGCACACAAGTACGGCATACATTTATGAAGTACATAATGGATTTTCTGCATTGGCTGCTCTGCTTTATATAATAAATAGAATGCAGAACACTGAAAAATTACACAAAGTACAGGCCATCTAAGTTTCAATCAATTTTTTATTTAACAGTACAATACATGGTTTTTATTATTATTTTATATAACAAAATTCAGTCATGAAACAATCTATTATTCCATTAACAGTCTTTACAAAATACAACAGAGATCAGTTATACAGTGTCTCCAGGAATGTATTAAGGATTTTACTATACTTCTCAAGGTTATAAAACATTACCGTAGGTACAAAGTTAAACAAAAAATGAGCGTTTACATTAATGTAGAGAAACCATGTTTACTTGTTCTTCTCCATACAGTATATTACAGTACGCAATAAACAGTACTGCATAAAATTGTAGAAACTAAAAAATAAAAAATTAAGGAAATTGGCATTGTTACCAATCAATGACAATAAAATAAGATATATTTTATCTTATATGAATATAAATAATATGTATAGATATATGAATAAGATATATTCATATGCAGTATATAATAAATTATATTTCTTTGAACATAAAACTTTCAGTTCCTTTGAACATAAAACTCAGCAGTAAATTAACATTTACATCCTGTTACAAATCAGTATATTAATCCAATAGAAAAACAAACACACTAATTAGAAATGGCATATCCATGAACACATCTAGAAACATAATGCAAATATCTGTGGATAAAACCAATAATTGTTACTATTGTAGATGTTAGTTTCTGGGAAAATGTCGTTGATGCAACAATGAGCCAACAATTATTGATACTGATTAAACATTACTCGAGCATATTTTTGCCCACTGTGTATTACATATAATGGTGAAGTATGAGGCTTGAAGGTAAACAAGGTTGTGTAGAGGCTGTGGCTATCATCTTTATTAACAGGATAATTAATAAGGTCCAGCTGGCTGGTAACAGAGTAAAGGTGTTGGTATTAGAGCATGGAAGAGAACAGGAACCATGGAGGGTTGTAAAGTGTTTGTGGCAGTGTTCTAAGTCAAACATCACAACTTAATTTTTTTTAACAAATCTAAAAGAATGCGAAAGTTAATGTAAAGTTAACGTAAGAAATTGGCAAGGTCTGGTTGAAGGCACACAAGATAAAACTCAGTGGAGACAAACTGGAAAAAAGTATATAAATGAAAATACTGATAATTTTTGTCTTGTTTATTTGAATTTTGTCCACTCTTCTTCCATGCGTGCTTGCAATAAGCAAGGTACTGTACCTGCTACAAGACAATTCAGAACCAAAAAAATTTAATGAATATTAAAATAGAATTAAAAAAAAAAAAAAAATTGTTTTAAAAAAAGAATTTAACCGGGCACTTTATCTTCAGTTTGGCGCAAAAGGCTAGATGGTTTCAACTGCACACATGCCTTACTCCTCCTCAGAAATAAAATTTGTAAGATAAATAATCTTTGTATACTGACTACTACATTATTGTTTTATAGAAAGATACATTTTGCCTTTAACCATCTGCTTGGTTGGGTTGATTCGCTTTAAGATCTGAGCAATGGCATGCACAAGTTGGTCTGAGTTGAGACCAGTCTTCTTGCACTTGAACTTGTGAAGAAGCTCTGTAGTGGTCATAGGCTTGCGCATCAGGTATCTTCTAATGGACTCCTCTGTCACACCGCTGTCACTGCAATGTGTAATAAATTATAATTCAGAGCAGCCACTAATAAACTGAAAATGTAAAAACTAATAATAATTCACATTAAGAAGTCTATTCTTTTCAGACCATTTTTTTCATTGCAGACAATTTTTTAATATTACAATTTTTCTTGGAATGTAAACATATTTGTCCTTACAAACAAACCAAAATTTCTTCATATATTAACTGATGTTCACTAAAAACATAATGGTCCAAGGTAACATATAACAATTTGATCTATTTTAGTAAAGATGCTGGAAAGTACTCAATCCAGCCCAAAATGTAGCCAGAGTTTATTTATATAAAATTACTTGGCTTTAAATTTAATTAAAAAATTTGAAAAGGCCGATTAAATTTTCAACTATTTTGAGAACATAAATGTTCAAGGATGTTAAGATATTTGAAAGTTAAAATGTCCTAAGTGATCGGCTGAGAGAATAAAGACACTCCCAAAATTGTCCCAAAGGTAACCCACAGGTGTACATTTGGAAACATTACGCACCTTCCTGGAGAAGCTGCAAGTGTTGAGGACCCTCCTGCACCCATATCAGTACGCTGCTTCTTGGCCACACTTTCAGTAGGATTGGCCTTCAGCTTGCGTTTACCACTAGATCCATCTTCAGATTTACTTTTGTGTCTGAAAATATTAATTGGCAAATTATTATGATAAATGCCTCAGTTAAATATTGTCAGAACAAATGTGGACTTCTTCAAGAGAAAACTAGTTTGTTTTCTTCAAGAAGTGTTTGACCAACCAGGCTGTTGTGGATATATGTGGGCCTGTGGGCCACTCCAAGCACCAGCCTGGTGGACCAAGTTCTTCTACTCCCCCAAGTCAAGCCTGGCCCAAGGCCAGGCTTGACTTGGAGTAGAATAATTCCCAGAACCCCATCCAGGTACAAATATGAACGTGGATGAAGGGGGGAAACAGGTGATTTGCTATCATAATCTACATTTGATTGCTTTCCTTATTATAAGCACTTTGTTTCCCTGAACATTATGACAAAGTAGAGATGATCCCTAATTTCTCACTATATTCATTATATATTCAAGCATTAAATCTAAATATTTTCCTTACAACTTGCATAATAATAATAATAATAATAATAATAATATAATAAATGGCTAGACAGTGTTGTAATGGTCTTAAAGGTTACTTACGAATCTGAATTCCTGTCCCTCTTCTTCTTCTTATTGCTAGGCTCATCATCACTGGTATCTGAAGACTTGGCTTCTGATTCTGCAATTATATTTAAATATCAACATTAATTATCTTAAGAAACTTTGGTCTTCAGCAAAGAGAGCTTGTGGCTTTGACAACTCCCCTGGATACAGGATTGCAGTTTCCAGATTGCAGGATCTTATGTTCTGGACACTAAGATCATGGTAGGCATTGAATGACTTCCATAACCACTGCGGACAAGAACATTTTCAAAATCTATCTCGTTCCCACTAGGGAGGCCTGGTCGACGACCGGGTCGCCGGATTCCGGGTCGCTAAGCCCCGGAATCACCTCAAGGTAACCTCCCCCTTTATAAGTGGGAAGCTGATCATTGAGACCGAGGCAAACTGCCTGCTATTTGAAGCGAATCACTCCAGCTCCCTTCGAGAGACATTTAGTAACACTGGGTGCCAGGAACATTCTCAAACAAGCAAAGCACTGCCTCTGACTATCGCAGTCACCACCAGCTATACCGCATCATCAGAATTTCAAGTAGCTCATACCTCCAGATAAGTAATAAGTTCATCAAAATAAAGCACTAGATCAGAATGGCAATAGAGCACTGTTAATTGATAAACAAGTTAAAATTACAATGCTAAAATATATTTCATTTGAAACCAAAATACTTTAAAAGTCAAATAATTACTATCTTACCCTCTTTGTTAGCTTCTGATTTCTTATCCTTCTTCTTCTTTTTCTTCTTCTTTTTATCCTTTTCTTCCTTTTCTTCAGTTTCCTGCTTCTCTTCATTCTCCTTTTCCTTTTCTTTGTCCTTTTCCTCCTCATCTTCCTCGTCAGAATCTAGCAGCTTTTTAAGTGCATCTTCCTGATCCACCCCAGCTAACTCTTTTCTCACAATCTCATCGTTCTCCGCGTCAGAGCTGTGTGTAAAAAAAAAAAAATATGCATCCTTTACTCTGTATATAACTATTTGTCAGGTTTAATGAAAAGGCAATTGGGGTAAAGCACAAGATACATGACGGAATGAAACGACAAAAATCTCAAGGAATGAAGTGATCGACAATCCACATTGTTAGAACATGTAAACAAAAAAGATCAAGGATGAGTCCTTCAATTCTCCTTACCAATACACATTTCTAAGTGAAATAATGGAAAAGTGTTCTTTAATACACATCATTAGTGACATGCACAGGTCCTCGGGGTGCCATTGGCACAATCAGAGAACAAAGAACAGAACATAAACATCAGAGGTCCACGGTTGTTCAACATCCTCTCAGCAAGTACAAGAAATATTGCCGGAACAACTGTGGATATCTTCAAGATAACACTAGATAGCTATCTTCAAAAAGTGCCGGACCAACCGGGCTGTGGTGGATATGTGGGCCGCTCCAAGCAACAGCCTGGTGGACCAATCGAGGCCAAGCTTGGGGAGTAGAAGAACCCCAGAACCTTATCAAGCAGGTATCAGTCGAGCAGACAGTGCTTGGAGGTCACAGTCCAAAGGGCACGGGTTAAATTCCTGGCAAAGGCAAAAACGCATACACAAGTTCTTTCACATGATGCCTCTGTTCACCAAGCAGTTAAACCTAGACCTGGGAGCTAAACAACTGCTATGGGCTGCATCCTAGGGATGTGTGCACATGATAGATATATGTAGTAGACAGAAGAAAAATAGGTTGCGAGTTAATATACTAAACAACAAAGGTTTAGAAATGTGGGGACCAAGAGCTAACAGATTAATCTTGCAGGAACTAATAGTAAATACACACAAGAGGTCAAGAAAGTATTTCTGCTGTTAGTAATACAGTGGTCTATATCCTTGACTCTCACTTGAGGATCCCGGGTTCTTATCATGGGCGGGATAGAAATGGTTAGGCACCCTCAGGGATGGCATCCCAGGAAATAACCCTCCCTTAGACTCCTCTCAACTTGGCCATGTATTGCCCTTCCTCATACACCTATCCCCCAGGTTAATATGGAAAGATACCTCATAAACATTAAACTCTACTCAAAGAATGTAGAGTTCTCCACTATTTATCTTACTTACTCTGAGGAATCACTAGATATGTAATCATGCTCAGCACCATCATCAAACTCATCACTTTCTTCTAAGCAATCTTCATCACTCTCTCCATCAAAAGTTTTCTTCTTCTTTCCACCTGCAAAGAAAAGAGATTTTTTAAATAAAATTCATCAATTTCCATGTAGAAATACTGTTATGGGGATATTATAAATAATAATTACACTTTTACAACTAAAAAAAATAAATAAATAAAAAATTAAAAAGGGCATCGAGTATAATTAAAAGCAGGCTTTAATCCAGGCTTTAAGCATAAGTTAGAAATAAATGAACAAGCTTTGTTGAATAAAAACAGGAGGTGCATCACATGAGCCAATAGACCTCTAAGTTTCCGGATTGAAACTGAGATTGCTGTTTCCTGTAATCTTATGTTCTTAAGATCAACCCTCTGGCAGGAGGAGGACTAAATTATCTACTACAGATGCTTACAACTTGCTTTCAAGAGCTAAGTTTTTCCTAATAAACTATTCACACAAGTAAAATATACTCACCATGCTGGGATCTGCCTTTGGCCTGAACTTTATTTTTCTTTTTGCCTTTAGCCATGTCATCAGAATCTTCTTCTCTTTCTTCTTCACCTTCAGATTCATCACCATCGGACATCCAGTCATCCAGCTCAGACAGCAACAAACCTGACAAATACCATTATCTTAACACCAGTCTGAAGAGGTGGAGGAAGAGGGCTAAAGGAAAGTAGAAGGAAGAGTAGAAGCAGTAAAATTTACATCCTGAATAAAGACTCACTTTGACTGCTGCTAATATTCACAAATTAATTAAATGCTTAGTCAACAGTCAGACAGTTTTGCAAGGCTCTGATTTTTAATATGACTAATCTTAATATTAAAAGTGAAGGAAATATGCCCAACCATCTGTATCCTGCCTGGGGAATCGAATCCAGGATTCTGTTATAAATTGAGAACACAGACTACTGCAATACAGGACCCATAATGAACTGTATAAAGTGTGGGATTATTGCCGAGTTACACACTAAATTTGTCTTTAAACAGCTGATTACGATGTGCTTACTATTTACTGTCACTTTCAAGACCCAAAATACAGTTAACCACTTTCCCTGTGGTCTGCTACCCCTAACAAGGCCTTGGGAGACAGTCAAAACACAAAATTATTAATCAAAATTGTAACCTAATGAAGCCAGTCGTTATAAATATCTTACTCTTGCCGGCAGAGCCCTTCTTCTTCGTGACCTCTTCATCGCCATCTGGTACTTCGTCCCCATCTTTCTTGAGCTTCTTCTGATACATTACAGAAAAGTAATTCATAATTTTGTCACGCCTGAAAAAATATATACCATTAGATATATAACACAAATAAAAGTTATAGCACAGGTCTTTGTCCAAAAGATGACACAAGACAGGTGATGCAAAAAAATACAAAATAAAGATAACCTACAATCATCACAAGACTGTTCAGTGGTTCTGAACACTTTTGATTTTAAATTAACGTTATAGAAAAGACTGAATTTATTTTACCTTTCCTGGAAACAAATGCTAAAGTTATTCAATATTTACATAACACTACTCAAAGTTTAAGTAACAACTTCTCTATATCAACCCATACAGTAGGAAATGAGGCATTTCGAAAGCATATCCAAAAACAAGGCATTATTTAAATTTGTGATTCAATACAGGTTCAATAACTGTATTGGCCAGTCCACCTTAATCTATTATAGTGTGTCTCCAAACCAAGATTTCACAAGACACAGCTTTTAAAATGAATAAAACTGTAATTTAAAGCCCAATTAAATTAGACAAAAATATTATGAATTGCAAACTTGTCTAAGTCACACACGAAAATCATTTTCTAAATCACAAAAACGTCACAACTTTTAAAGTCAAACTCTATATTAACCCAATTACCAAATTGTTTAACCAAGTTGCCACCAGGCACTTCCTAGCCATTTCCCGAACTTCATGAAATTTATTGGTATAGTATATGTAACACTGCATTATATTTATCTAACCTTAGTCATTTGTAACTAGTGCATTTTTAACTATTAAAATACAGGGTCTTTCTTAAATTTAAAACTGTTGATGTAACTAACAAAGTAAACCAAAACTCTGCACTTAACATGTGTGGTGTCTCCACTGTCTTGCAACTGAACCCTATAATTAACTTTTTTTTTTTTTTGTTTGGATCAGATCACTACCACTTTTATCCTTGAACAAAGTTTGATGTACTGTGACCATGTTTTTTATTTTGTATGCTACTGTTGTATGTATGTTTGCTGTTGTTCAGGACACAATCATCTCTGGGGATGATGAGCTATGTTCATCTTACAGTTCATCTTTCACTTTTGCAAACAGAGTGGTAGACGGTTGGAACAAATTAGGTGGGAGGATAAAACCGTCAGTAGTATATGTAACATTATGTTATATGACACCACAAGCATAGCTCTCATCCTGTAACTTCTCTTAGGTAATTACACACACACAAACTGTACATTGGTATTTTAAATTTAAAAACATAAGTGCATGAAACAGGTTCTATCAACTGCAATGGCTTTCAGAAAGTGGGCACACTAACATGAGCAATGTGCCACGCATTTTCCTTACAGATGTAGGTATGCATTAATGAGACCGCCTTTGCTTTGTGGTTGTTCAAATAATGAGATCTAAAACCCATCAAATTTGACAGTATCATTGCCAACAACTCCACATTCAGAAATTGAATTTTAACTATTCAAAACAATAGCGAACTGACATAAACGACAACCAATAATCACACATACCTTTCAAATTCCTTTTCGGCTTCCTCTGCATTGAGGTACTTATAGCGCTGAATAAGCTTGAAGTTATACCATTCTTCAACTGGATATGCTTCAAAAGCACCATCCTTACCCTGCATAAACACGTACCATGAAGAATTTTCCGACACTCCGCCCTCACGAATACCCTTGAATCTGTGGAATATATATATACAGTATATATCAAATAATATTTAGACTTCAATCTTTAAATAAGTACAGTACTGATGAACCCCAAGGATATTTTTACCATTAAAGCTGAAAGGAATTTTGGGATGATGGTTCACAGCTTAATACCTCAACCCCCCCCCTCCATGAAGCTAATTGTACCATAAAGTAGCATATGGTGGGTGATCACCACATTCCTATCCTGAAATACAGTACAGTATATTAATTTAACACTTTCATCCGGGCATGACGCAATGCTGCATCATCCGTTTACTGTTGGTAGTCTCGGGGATGACGCAATGCTGCAGCAGGTAACTGTCAACAAGCCGAATGATATTGATATTTTGATATCAACAACTATTGATATTTTGAACATCATGCATACACCTACTGTGGATTAACAGCTGCTAATACGGCAGTTCTTAATAATGAAAGTAGAATACGTGTACTTACTTTTTGCCATTCTTTCCGGCAATACTAAGGATCCATGGTTGATCCTCAGGTTTGTACTTCTTCACATTAATCCCATATTTCTTTCGTCTTGCTTCTTCTCTCTGCTCACGTCCAAACTCTGAACCAGCTCCAAATCTAAAAGCAAAGCAATAGACTTGGCTAAATAAGATAAGACAATACCATTGGCTATTGTTACTAAGGAAACTGAGAAAATACACAGAATCATCCAAAATGGAAAATGTTAATATCTGTAGCCCTTTATGTTATTTTCATAGGCAATTTTTTGAAGGGATATTCTGCAAATATATTCAGATGAAAATTCTGATCCTCCTGCATGGGCCCTAAGCCTCTGGCTGGCCCAATAAGCGTTACTTGATCTTTTTTACTTAGGCAGTGTATGAGTATTTATGACTCGTATGTTCGCTTCGGCAAGATTATGCCCAATGTGTTCAACAACTTCGGCTCTGTTGAATCTTAGTTGAAATATTATTGGGTTTGTAATTCTGCACTGTGTTAGATAAAGTTCCAGTGATTTGTCTGGCATGTCTCCACAGTGTTGATGTCCTCATTTTCTGGAACCTGTAAGCCTATTTCCATTGCACATGTGTATCCTTATGTGATGTAAGTGCACTTCTGTTTTACTGCTCTCTCTCCCCGTCATTTAAATAAGTGGTCACAGTCGTGACCAGCCCGCAGTCATAGTGTAAACGCTCATGGATATTGCGAAGTTGTGCTCAACTGTTACAATTATACAGTGCATTTGCGTGTTGGGGAAATGCCTGAGGCGGTCTGCCTCAGTGATAGACAATCGTGCACTAGGACTGATGATTATGAGTGAGGATGACTTTCAAGTATAAGGTGATACCAGGCCGTACCACGTTGCAATGTCCAGAAAGATATGGCATAGTTTTCATAGACAGTGAGACAGTGATGGTGAAGATGACATGAAAAACAGACAGAAAAATTGCTGGGATCCACAAAAGGAGAAACCAGTGGTGCAAACTCCCAGGAACTCTCAACCGGCAACCCTACCCAGCAGGACGCAAGACACGCAGATTAATAGATACAATTCACACCACCATGGGACGATTGTAATGTAGATGTAATTATTCCCTTGCAAAAGAAAAAAAGTATGTATGAAATAGGAGAGCTGAGGGCAACATATGATGGTATAATTAGAAAATTACCCACTGAAAACACACTACATGTATATTGTGATAGGGATGGGAAGGCAGGATGTGGAGTCTTGATCACTACTGTTATTGGACACTGCTTAACTGACAACGTCTCTTCAACACAGGCTGAACTCCAAGGTGTATTAGTAGGATTACAGGAAGTAGTCAAATGTGGTAAAAATACCAGCTTCTTTATTGACAGTAGTGGAGCGTTAGCCATTAAATAGCAGATGCCCGGTATACCAGAATATTGTGATAGAGTGTAGAGAGAAGATAACCCTTGAAACAAATAAAAACAACAATCAAGATGATCCAAGAGGGTGAAGAAATGGTAAAGAGAATGGCAATGGTGGACAGTACAGTAGTAACACACTTAAGAATTAATTCAATAATAAATACAAATTCACCCTTCACCTAAGGTAAGGGAAAGTTTACTTGTAAGGATTCAACTTACATGAGATTAAGATTAGGATACAAATATATTTGTATAATCCAATACAGTGTTGATGTCAATGAAATAGATAAGGAGTGTAAATCATGTATGCTGCATGCCCACACCTTAGAACATTATGTATTGGAGTGTCAACTTATCGATAACTATAGAAATAAGGAAATAAGTAATGTACCACATCAAATTGTTTGGATTTGTGATAATGGTATGATAGACAGTATAATTCGGAGCTACAAGAATTTTACCCCAAGAGTGTAACACTTATATGTGGTGTTTACTATATTAACCTGCAATGTTAATGGTATTCTTGTATTGTGATTTGTGTATTTGCACTCACTGAATTTGTGTGCCCCTTGAAGGACTTGAAGTAGAGGGAGGTAGAAATAGCCTAAGCTACTATAATCCTTTGAGTAGTATAGTTACTCCAAGTTACAGCCCCGCTCCTGTGCCAGGTAAGTCCACTACGGGCTCACCATAGCCCGTGCTACTTGGAACTTTTTGTTCCCAGTAGCTGAATCTTAAACAACATCTAATCCTTTGAGATGTATTTTTTCTTGTTTCAATAAACACACTTGAACTTGAAATAAGTGGTTCGTAGTTGCGTAAATTCTTGTATCAACCTGCAGATCCTGATGTTGATATTGCAATTGTAGTTACTGATAAAATGGAGGAAACTTTAGATACGAAAATACTTTTATGAAAAACTATAGTACTGTACTCAGAATTTCAAATTGCAATAGTAACAATATACAATTGTGTACAGTTAAATTGTACACAGGCTTTTTTGGCAAAGCTCATTTTCTAATTGTCATAATTGTATTGTGTACTGTATATCGTTAGGTTCTAACGATCTTGTAATCCATTGGCGACCTTTCTTGAAAAAGTTATTATTTACAAAGCATACAGGAAATATATAAATGTAAAGATAAGTTTGTAAAACATATCATGCAGACAAAAAGAAAGTGATAAAATAGTAAAATGAACAGTATCTGGAGAGATTATGTGGCAGAAAGACAAATATAGTACATTATTTGTTGACCAGACCACACACTAGAAGTTGAAGGGACGACGACGTTTCGGTCCGTCCTGGACCATTCTCAAGTCGATTGAGATAGTACATTATTTCTCTTGATTCTATACACAGAGGTCCTATGTAAGGTCATGTGAATGAATGGTAAGATATTTCTCATCAGAACTGGAATCCAGTAGTATATTAAGTATATACTTAACGAGAAAAAATTTGGATATTGTTGGTGTAAAACAGTTGATTTAAACATGTTAGAAGATGTGAAAGTTAGATTTTTGGAATTTAGGATGGTTTGGAGACAATTCTTATAGAAGGATAAACACCCATGTGAGAACTGAGTTTTGGGCCACTTACTTGGGCATCTCTTCCTCTTGGCTTTTGAATTCCTTCAAATTATTCTCTCGTTCCATCTTTGTATGGGTCCAGGACTTGAAGTCAACACCAAGGGCTGCATGAAACCGCATCATGTTGTACTTTCTCTTGTATGCTCTAAAAAGCCAAATGTACAAATTAATCTTAATTTAGCACCAATTTCCCCCCCAAAAAATGTGCCAAAACACTTATGCAAATCCTCATTAGTTGCAGAGATAAGGAATGGACACCCAACCTAAAAAAGTATTGGTCACCTTAAGTTGTACAGTACAAAATAAAATCCTATAACAGACTAATAGGAAGACTTATGAGCCAACTGTGCCCAAAGACAGGAAGGTGGGGCCTGACAGCTGAGTGGACAGCGTTCTGTAGTTCTGAGGTTTCGGGTTCGATCCCCGGTGGGCAGTTTTTCACCTGGGAGTTATGACAGCTGCTACAGGCTGCAGCATCCTGGGGGTGTGTACATTGACGTACAATCTGAAAAAGGAGGGCTGGTCGAGAACCGGGCCACAGGGACACTAAGCCTCGAAATCATCTCAAGATTGGTTCATATGGGGCCCCCCTGATAAGGAAACCAATAGTATTCCCCCAAAAAAGTGCCGAATACCAGGACAAAACCTATTTCAAAGGAAGAACAGAAGTAGCAGTAAAAAGAGGGACATTTTTTTTAAATTTTAAAGGTACAGTATTGCCTCCCAATGAGGATTATGCAGGAACCAGATACAGCAACCATAAAGAGACATACAGGAGTGACAGTCAGATAATACATACATTGATGTACACTCTGAAAAACTACAAACAGTAGATTAAAGCTCTCATCTGACTGTTTTTCTATAACTGTTTTCTTTCTATGATTTGGAAAACATAAGACACAGGAGGTAAACCAAACCTCCCAGACATATAGGAAAAACTAAACTATCAATCCCAAGAACCTATAACCCCAAAGTGACATTAGATGTGAGAGAAAGGCACATGATATGCACTCAAAAAATCCAGCAAATAGATTTTTTGCTGGATTCAGATCAGCAAAAGATCACACATAAACAAAACAAAAACCAACTGAGTAACTTTACTTTAGCATAACAAACCAAGAAGTAGTCTTGGTTTGAGACTTCAAGATGGGGTTTTCTCAGCTTGGGTTTTGTCTGAATGTTCTTGAGTTTAAGAGGACAAAATGCTCGAGTTGAAGTAAAGTACGTCTGCACACTCAAAGACTGCGTGCTTGCATCTCTGACTCAGTGAATAAATAAGCCAGCATTTTCTTTACAAAGACATTACGAGGCCTTGACTAATATTGTCAAATATTAGAGGGACTCCCGGTTTGCCTCCTGCCTCGTCACCAGAGGCACTGTACTGTAAATGTTTATGTTCAACTCAATAGCATTTTGACCTCTTAAACTCAATTTTATTCAGACCAGCTGAGAATATCCCAACAGCCACTGGTGGTATTTGGACCTTGCAATCAGCATCAGACCACTTCAGCAAAGTTGAAGCTGATTGTCTTATCAGAGATGCACAAATAAATTAGGGACCAGTCTGATGTGAACAGTGCAGTAATTTATTAAACTAAACTAACCAGAATGTATTTGGAAAATATCCCTACAAAACATATATATTAGTTGAGCCACATTCTTATTATTTTCAGTTTAATTAAAAGGCTGTAAACGTTTCTGTACATCTTAAGACAAATTACAGGTATTATGCAGTTATTAATTTTATGTATGAAGTTGGTTTTTTCTATTAAAGTGTTATACTGTACTTACTTTGGTACTTTGACGACATATTCAGTCACAGTGCCCTGAAAAAAATATGTACGTATATTAAATGATTATTCTACACAAATTACAGGCAGCAGCACCTCGGATTAACATCCGAGGACAGATGTTCAAAATGAAAATAAAAAATGGCAATGGTGAAAATTTTTATTTATCAGAAGAGGAAAAAGATAGAATATTTGAAGCAAGTCTTATTACGATATAAGGTAAATGGAACATACTATACTTTAAAGCTATATGTTGAAATTAAGTGTCGAAATCCAGGGCTGGAATTCTCAACAAAAGATTAAAGTAAAAAATTAAACATATACTTGTTTAAACCTATTTATATAAAAAAAGGGAAAATATACACTAATGACCTGTTACAGAGCAAGCAGAAAATTGAGAAAATCCAAAGATATGCCCTTTCATATATAAGATATGCCACAAAACTAATACCCGAGAAACGATATATTCATCCTGAGAAAAGACCAAAAGAACTACCATAAATCTGATAGCCTTTGAACTGAAAAGGACCAAAAAGGCAATATGATCACAAAATACAAGAGTGCCGTATTCTGTGCTAGATGTGTGACATGCCCTAGTTGCCTGGGTGGAACTTTTGGAATATTAATGTAATGTGGTCAACAGAGTAAGAATCAAAAAGGCCCAAAAGTTGTCATCACTACCCTTAAACAAACCTACCCACCTAATTAATCGTATCTTAAACGTATCTTTAGGTACTGTATGTACTAGCTCTATCTATAAATCCAACATTATGTTTGTAACTCTGCATCTATGCATGTACTTTTCCTGAGTAAAATATTATTATGTTATCCTAACTGTTTTAATTTTAAGTATCTAAAACATATTTATCTTAATCTATCTAAACTTATTTATCTCAATCTAATCTATCTAAACTTATTTATCTTAATCTAACCTATCTTAAATTTTTCCTATCACATCTTAACCTATTCTAACCCAACCAATGCTAGCCTAACTTAAGCCTATTCTAATTTAACCAAACCTACCCTAACTTATCTTAACGAAAATTAATATTGGTTGAGAAAACTCAACCAATCCTAGCCTAACCCATCCTAACTTAAGTCTTATAATTTAACCTAACCTAACGTATCCTAGCGCAAAGAAAACTAATATTTCTAAGTATTAAAAGTAAAAAAAAAAATGTATATATCTACACATATAAGGCTAAAACGCGGAAAGTGATGGCCAAGGCCAAAAAAACACAATGAACTCTACGCTGTGCTGTGTTCACAGAGCTGTGCTCACAGCTGCTCGCAGCGTTACGCAGTCATAGCTGTGCAAGGTGTGCTCACACAGCTAAGGCTGCTTGCTTACACCACAAGGAAATCCCCTGCCTCACCTGCGAAGAACCAGACATGGTGCTCGGTAGTCAACACTCGTCACTGGGAGATGAACTGCTGTTGGGTGTTGATATTAAGGGCGACAACGTCACTGGCGTCCAGGAGCCTCTTAGAGCGAGCCGCGGGGGACACTGAGGAACAACACGGTCTGTTTTCCTAATGAAAAATTCACAAGTGTCTGAACAAATGTTGACCCAACCATAAACTGGATGAGACGACTGCGTTTCTGTCCGTCCTGGGCCGTTATATAGTCGATCGTGGTGAGATGTGATTGATAAAAATTAAGTCACCCGTGAGGTGGCACGGGCATGAATAGCCCGTAATGAGATGAGGTTGTTGTTGTTCTTGTTTCAGATTTAGCGACTCAGAACGAAGTGGCCATGTAGCACGGGCTATGGTGAGCCCATAATTGAGTTCGGTTATTCGCGATAACTTTGTTACTGTGATGCCTCCTTGAGATGAGGGAGGCGCGGGCAAGGTATTATATGTACTAGCATATAATAATTATATGTTTATAATTATATGTTTAGATAGATTACTTAGATAGATATTTAGATGATTAGATAGATTATATATAGCATATAATTATATGTTTAGATAGATTACTTAAAATTAAAACGGTTAGGATAACATAATAATATTTTACTCAGGAAAAGTACATACATAGATGCAGTTACAAACATAATGTTGGATTTATAGATAGAGCTAGTATATATAATACCTTGCGGAAGGCCGATAATTGCAAATAACATTCGTCTTCATCTTGAAAAACATAAATTAATAAATGATTCACAACATGATTTTACAAATGGTTGTTCATGTTTATCAATTTGCTATCATTTTATTCCAGCATAGTTGAGGTGGTTGATAGTGATAAGGTTTGTGATGTTGTATACCTTGACTTTAGCAAAGTTTTTGATACAGTGCCACATGAAAGACTGATTAAAAAGTCTTTTTTATCTTTAAATCTTTATCTTTCTATAAAAAGATAACATAAGAACAAAGGTAACTGCAGAAGGCCTATTGGCCCATACGAGTCATCTCCTATTTATAACCCAATCCCACTCATATACATGTCCAACCCATGCTTGAAACAATCGAGGGAACCCACCTCCACAATGTTACGCGGCAATTGGTTCCACAAATCAACAACCCTGTTACTGAACCAGTATTTACCCAAGTCTTTCCTAAATCTAAACTTATCCAATTTATACCCATTGTTTCGTGTTCTGTCTTGTGTTGATACTTTTAATACCCTATTAATATCCCCTTTGTTATGTCCATTCATCCACTTGTAATTCTCTATCACCCCTAACTCTTCGCCTTTCCAGTGAATGCAATTTAAATCTTTCTTCATATGAAAGATTTCTAATTTGGGGAATTAACTATCATTTTATTCCAGCATAGTTGAGGTAGTTGATAGTGGTAAGAATTGTGATGTTGTGTACCTTGACTTTAGCAAAGCTTTTGATACAGTGCCGCATGAAAGACTGATTAAAAAAATAGAGGCTCATGGTATTGGGGGTTCTATATTAAGCTGGATTAGCATGGATTAGCATTAGGGCATGGCTATTCCAAAGGAAACTATATATACTATATATACTGACTATATACTAACTCTATATATATAGAGAGAGAGAGAGTTAGTATAAATGGGGTTAAGTCTGAGTGGGATGATGTTGTTAGTGGAGTACCTCAGGGCTCTGTCCTGGGACCTCTGTTGTTTATAATATATATAAATGATTTAGATTCAGGTTTGAACATAAGAACCATTTGACCATTTCAAAACCCTATTTAGATCAACTTGAAGTGATAGTGAGTCTTCTTCCGTGTTAATTTCCCTGCCGATTTTTGTATCATCTGCAAATTTGCAGATGTTGCTACTCAACACGGAAGAAGACTCACTATCACTTCAAGTTGATCTAAATAGGGTTTTGAAATGGTCAAAGGATTGGCAGATGCAGTTTAATGCTGATAAATGTAAAGTTTAAACGATTCTTCGCGGCAGGGGATCGTATTCCAGGGACCTGCCCGAAACGCTACGCGTACTAGTGGCTGTACAAGAATGTAACAACTCTTGTATATATCTCAAAAAAAAAAAAAAAAAAGTTTTGAGGCTAGGTAATGATGATAGAGTTACAAGATACGAGCTTGATGGTGTTGAGATTGCAAAGTCGGATTGCGAAAGGAATCTGGGAGTTGTGATTAGTAAGAATTTAAAACAAAAGGATCAATGCCTGAATGTTCGTAATAAGGAAAATAGGACACTGGGATTTATTAATCGAAACGTTAGTAACAAGTAACAAGGTGTGGTTCTTCAGCTATATCTTGCTCTGGTTAGGCCCCATTTAGATTATGCAGTTCAGTTTTGGTCGCCGTACTATAGAATGGATATAAATTCACTTGAACGTGTCCAACGTAGGATGACTAAGTTAATTCCCCAAATTAGATATCTTTCATATGAAGAAAGATTGACAAAGCTTAACTTGCATTCACTGGAAAGGCGAAGAGATAGGGGTGACATGATAGAGGTTTACAAGTGGATGAATGGATATAACAAAGGGGATATTAGTAGGGTATTAAAAGTATCAACACAAGACAGACCACGAAATGGGAATAAATTGGATAAGTTTAGATTTAGGAAAGACTTGGGAAAATACTGGCTCGGTAACAGGGTTGTTGATTTGTGGAACCAATTACCGCGTAACGTGGTGGAGGTGGGGTCCCTCGATTGTCTCAAGCGTGGGTTGGACATGTTTATGAGTGGGATTGGGTGGTTATTGATAGGAGCTGCCTCGTATGGGCCAATAGTGCCTTCTGCAGTTACCTTGTTCTTATGTTCTAAGGGGATATAAATAGGGTATTAAAAGTATCAACACAAGACAGAACATGAAACAATGGGTATAAATTGGATAAATTTAGATTTAGGAAAGACTTGGGTAAATACTGGTTCGGTAACAGGGTTGTTGATTTGTGGAACCAATTACCGCGTAACGTGGTGGAGATGGGTCCCTCGATTGTTTCAAGCGCGGGTTGGACATGTATATGAGTGGGATTGGGTGGTTATAGATAGGAGCTGCCTCGTATGGGCCAATAGGCCTTCTGCAGTTGCCTTTGTTCTTATAAACATACCTAGTTAAACACATAACAAAGTTAGAGAAGATTCAGCGGTATGCGGAGAAAATTCTGAAAGCAGGTATGCGGTATCCTGAAATATATCTCATTCTGAATCCTGAAAGCAGGATTCAGCGGTATGCGGAGAAAATTCAGCGGAGAAAATTCTGTTAAAGTGCCAGATTTTCGAAAAGCTGATTTTAATAGCCTAAGAAATTTTTTGGGTCAAATTGATTGGAATGGCTTGGGTATGGGGTGTGGGCCGGTCTTGGAGCGAGACATGAACCCAGCGATAGGTGACTTAAATGGGGATTTCGATGTGGATTCAATATATAACTTATTTAAGAATATTCTAAACAAAGCACAGGTACGTAGTATACCATACAAATTGAATAGATCGTATACTAATGACCCAAAGTGGATAACAAAGAATTTGAAGAACCTTATAGGTAAAAAGAGAGCTTGGTACAAAAGGATTAAAAATGGGGAGGTCACTTTAGAACAGGAATTCGTACAACTGGTTAGAAATGTTAAAAAAGAGATAAGGAAAGCAAAAAGAAACTATGAAGTTCGCATAGCAGGGCAAGCAAAGACAAATCCTAAAGGGTTTTTTCAGTTATATCGTACTAAGACTAGGGAAAGGATAGGTCCATTAAAAACTGAGACAGGTCAAATAACAGATAGTGATGAAGAGATGAGTAGTATTTTTAATAAATATTTTGTATCTGTATTTACTAAAGAGGAACTTAACAATATGCCTTCAGCCGAACAAGTCTATGTGGGTGGGGACGAGGACAGGTTGACGAGTTTAGCAGTTACCAGGGAGGATGTTCTTAAACAAATAGTAAAACTCAAACCAAACAAATCCCCAGGGCCGGATGAAGTGTTTGCTAGGGTGCTTAAAGAATGCAAAGAGGAGCTTTGTGACCCACTGTCAACCATATTTAATAAATCAATAGAGTCAGGCAGAGTGCCAGAGTTTTGGAAAGTTGCTAATGTGATACCAGTTTTTAAGAAAGGAGATAGATCACTTGCGTCTAACTATCGACCAATTAGCCTAACGTCTATTGTGGGAAAGTTACTCGAATCTATAATAGCAAATAAAATTCGTCTTCATCTTGAAAAACATAAATTAATAATTGAGTCGCAACATGGTTTTATAAATGGCCGTTCATGTTTAACAAATTTGTTATCTTTTTATTCTAGCATTGTTGAGGCAGTTGATAGTGGTAAGGATTGCGATGTTGTATACCTTGACTTTAGCAAAGCTTTTGATACAGTGCCACATGAAAGACTGATTAAAAAAATAGAGTCTCATGGTATTGGGGGTGCTATATTAAGCTGGATTAGGGCATGGCTATACCAAAGGAAACAGAGAGTTAGTATAAATGGAATCAAGTCAGAGTGGGAAAATGTTGTAAGTGGAGTGCCTCAAGGCTCTGTCCTGGGACCTCTGTTGTTTATAATATATATAAATGATTTAGATTCAGGTTTGAGTAGCAACATTTGCAAATTTGCCGATGATACGAAAATCGGTAGGGAAATTAATTCGGAGGAGGACTCACTATCACTTCAAGTTGATCTAGATAGGGTTTTGAAATGGTCAAAGGATTGGCAGATGCAGTTTAATGCTGATAAATGTAAAGTTCTGAGGTTAGGTAATGATGATAGAGTTACAAGATACGAGCTAGATGGTGTTGTGATTGCGAAGTCGGATTGCGAAAGGGATCTGGGAGTTATGATTAGTAAGAATTTAAAACAAAAGGATCAATGCATAAATGTTCGTAATAAGGCAAATCGGACACTTGGATTTATTAATCGCAGCGTTAGTAACAAGACACCTGGTGTGGTTCTCAAGCTATATCTTGCTCTAGTTAGGCCCCATTTAGATTATGCAGTTCAGTTTTGGTCGCCATATTATAGAATGGATATAAATTCACTTGAACGTGTCCAGCGTAGGATGACTAAGTTAATTCCCCAAATTAGAAATCTTTCATATGAAGAAAGATTAACAAAGCTTAAGTTGCATTCACTGGAAAGGCGAAGAGTTAGGGGTGACATGATAGAGGTTTACAAGTGGATGAATGGACATAACCGGGGGGATATTAATAGGGTATTAAAAGTATCAACACAGGACAGAACACGAA